AACAAACAGACAAAAGTATGGAAAAGAAGAAGGCCAGGTAGAGGGTACACGCCTACAGTATGCAGAGACTGAGGCAAGAGGGTCTAGAACTTAAGGCCAACTTGGACTACAAAGTAAGATCCAGTCCCACCGGGAAGTGGTGGCGCATGCCTTTAATCCCAGCACTCTGGAAGCAGAGGCAGGCAGATCTCTGTGAGCTTGAGGCCAGTCTGGTCTACTAAGCGAGTTCCATGACAGGCTCCAAAGCTACAGAGAAACCCTGTCTCAAAAAAAAAAAAAATCCAGTCTCAAAAGATCAACAATCTTAAATGCATAAATTCAAAGCAAGGTTTAATATCAAAGATAACCAAGAAAATGAAGAATGACAGCTGTGCCAAAGAATACAATCCGGAGAGGTGGGTAAGGCTAGCTTCAGAAGAGGAGGGGTAAGCCTGTGCATGGAAGAGAGGGGAGTGTCCTGAGGATGTAGGGAGTGTTCAGATCCAAAGCACGCACTCAGCAGAGCAAAGGGGACGTGTAATGAGGGTGGGGGGAAGAAAAGGGTGCCACAGGGAAAACGAGAGGCCGGACGCCTAGGAGAGATTGTGGACAAAACTGTAAACTGTGGCTAGATTCCTCCCACAGGGCCAACATAGAAGTCAGGCATGTGAGCAGATCCCTCCACAGGGCCAACATAAAAGTCAGGTATGCGAGCAGATCCCTCCCACAGGGCCAACATAGAAGTCAGGTATGTGAGTGGATCCCTCCCACAGGGCCAACATAGAAGTCAGGTATGTGAGCAGATCCCTCCCACAGGGCCAACATAAAAGTCAGGTATGTCAGTGGATTCCTCTCACAGGGCCAACATAAAAGTCAGGTATGTGAGCAGATCCCTCCCACAAGGCCAACATAGAAGTTAGGTATGCCATCTAGGTGTGGTGGTGCACACATTTAATCCAGCACTGGGGAGGCAGAGGCGGGTAGATCTCTGTGCTCAAGGCCAGCCTGGTCTACAGAGTGAGTTCCAGGATAGCTAGGGCTATTATACAGAGAAACCCTGTCTCAAAATCTCAAAAAACAAAACAAAACAAAAAAAGGTATATCAGTAGACACTCTCCCACAGGGCTGACATCAAAAGTCATATATGTCAGTAAAGAATTCAGCTGCTAGGCTCAGAGTGAAGACACTCAGGGATTTCATTTGGGAAACACCACAAGAGATCACTGCAGGTGAGGGTTGGATCAGAGGCCACAGTAGACCCAGAGGCCCATCCAGAGGTCACTCAGTGACACAGAGGAAAGGCAACAGCTCAGCTCGGGGAAACAGAAAAAAGGTACAGGTAGCAGGTTGAGATGTTAAGAATCTGAGAGCTACAGGAAGCAACTATGTGACGAGGGACAGGGAGGGAGCCAGCAAGAGGATGGAAACAGACCCATTCTGATGATGCCTTTAAGAGGACCAACAGCCTCTTACTGGGAAGGTCCTGAATTCAGGGTGGGTAAGCAGGCAGACAGATGAAGTGGTGAGGGGCCACAGGGAGTTTGAATGTGTCACGTGGGAAGAAATGGTTACTGGAGTCATGGACATAAGGATGTCACCCAGGAGAGACATCCAGAGGATCTCAATACTTCTCCATCTTTCCCAGGAAGACAGGAGGCTCACTGAGAAGAGCAACTTCTAGACGAAAATGCAGCTGGGAAGGGGAGGCGGGGCCGGGGTGTAGCTCAGCCAGAGAGGACTTCCGTAGCACGGGTCAGGTGTCCTAGGTTCCATTCCCAGTGCTGTAAACTGGGGACAGGGGCAGAGACACAGACACCAAAGAGGAGAAGCTGGAGGCTGATGTGACGTGGTGGCAGGAAACAGATGACCACGTCTGAAGGGAGAACACACCTGTAGGGCGCACACTGAAACAAATGCTTGTTCTTAGAAGACGGTGAGTCATTCATGGAAACACCAGGACACAAGGAACACTTAAGAGAAGCTGGGATTATCTAAATAGCAAACTAAGGCTAAGGCTGTAAAAGCAGGAGTGCCTAATCTCACCTGGACTCTTCCAAAATGTTTATGGGAACTCTACTGCTGCCCCAGTTTCTTAAGAAGCCTGCCCGGATGGCATCAGGCCACGATCACCTCTCTCTTGCTTCCACTTTTACCCAGAGGGCAGTAAATGTGGAGCCCACAGAGGGGGCACAGCATGGCTGCCATGCTGAGGGTGTTCACTGGCTGCTCAGGACCTGGGCTGCTGGTTGAGCATCACTTTAGAAGGCAAAGGGTAGAGAGGAGGCTGCAGCTGGACCCCAGACAAGGCCAGGAGACAGCACATGGAGTCAGTTATCACTTTTGGGGAAATAAATCAATGAGGATGGCATCAGTCAGTGACAGGAGAGAGACAAAGGGAAGAATCCATTAGGGAGCAGAGTGCAAGCATGTGGTGTTTGGAGGGCGTGGCTACGGTCAGAGTGCAAGCTTCACCTTGGGGAGCAGTGGAAGATGAGGCAGGGCTAGCTAGGGCATTTCAACTTTATCCTGGAGGGTTGCAGGAAGAGGAGGGATGTGGCCACAGGCTAGAAAATGCACATGGAGGAGGGATGGGAACACTCATGACCACAGGCTGGGAGGCTGGAAACTCCAGTGAAGTTGCCAGTGTGCACGGCTGCTGTGACACTTTCCACAATAAGAAACAGCATAACTTACCAACCAGTGTACCAATATCTCACTTATTTGTTTCCTTCCTTAAATTTCTATTAACTTATTCTTGTCAGTGCCTCTTCCGCCTTATAAGACTCTGGAGTCTCTGAAAACACCTATACAGCGTCTTTCAAGTTGTAGTCAACAAGGAGGCAGTCAGCACATGTGCTGTGAGTGATCCAGGCTTTCCTGAGACCTGTCCTTAACCAATGGGACAGTTCTAAGCAAGTGAGGAGCAATGGTCCTGGCTGCATAGGTCCTTGATCCAATGAACCACTGCAGAGTTCAGAGGAGACTCAAGATCTATGCAGTCTCTTAAAATATGCTGGGGAGAAGGGGGGAGAAAACACAAGTAGGAAAAGAAGTGGGTATGTACTGAGTGCCTGCTACATGGTGAGGGCCTGCTACATGCTAGAATCCCACCACACACTAGGGCCTGCTACATACAAGGCGTCTACTACATATTGGGGGTCTGCTATATGATGAGCACCCACTATGTGCTGAGCATTTTGGGGGAAGAAAACTCTCTCTTTATAGCCCTGGCTGTCCTGAAACTCACTATGTAGACCAGGTTGGCCTTGAACTCACAGAAATCCACCTGCCTCAGCTGCCTGAGTGCTGGGAATACAACTGAGTGCTACCATGACCTACTTCTGTGCTGAGCATTTTATTCACATAGCATGGAAGGAGAAGCTCTGTGGTATTTGGCAGAAATGCCAAGGCAAGACAAGGTTCCTCTGCTTCCCTGGGGCCACAGAGATAGCAAGTGCCAGCACTGCCATCAGATCCAGGTCTATTTAGAAGCCCAGGGTCAAGCAGAGGCGGCCTGCACCAGAGCAATGTAGACATGGGAAGGCAGAGAGGGCAGCTTCTAAGAAGCTGGCCATAGGTATGAGGTGACGGTCAGCATCATTCTCTTCACATAGGAAATGCAGACACTGTGACACCCATTTCACAGATTTATTATGAGATTTTGAGTTTGTGAAAGCAAGCCCCAGTGGAAAAGTGCTCTGTAAATGGCTCTGTTGGCGAAGTGACACTGGGGGAAGGAGCATCTATTTGCTGCACTCAACCAGGCCTAAAGCAGCTTTAAAACAATTCTGCTGCTGACACAGTACAGCAGGCTGGACTCTAAGTTACTAAAGGCCTGGTCTATTTGTCAATCACCAAGCAACTGTTCTACTATCACCTGGGCAAAAGAAGGATTTTAAAAGTTAAATCTTCATTCTTTGAGGACTTTTCCTTTGAAAAAGAAAATGAGAATGCAGTTGATTTCAAAACAAAGACATCCTGGCTGGGGATGGAGCTTGGCTTAACAGTCACAAGGCCTTGGGTTCTAGATTCAAACTGGCCATCAATTAAGGGCCTCTTTTTTTCTCAACTCTCCTTCATTTTACTTACATTACTCCACCTGATCTCACCACTTCCTAATACTTGTGGATCGTTTTCATTCACAACCTGATGTATGGCTCAATTTCCATACAAATACAATGTATCTTATTACTTAAAACTTTTGCAATATTCTTATTCATTCAAAAGAATTTGCTCAAGGGCCTCAAATAAGTGCTCCACACTCCACAGACACCAACCAATCAATCAATATGGGCCCTGTGTAACAGTCTAACATGGTACAAAATGGTGTTTTTGGGTCAGGGACTGTGTGGAAAGAGGCCAAACAGGGGAAGGAGACACACGTGAGAATGCTCTGCAATGGGAGGAGACGTCACTAAAGACAGAGAGTGCTGTAGGATGCTCATAGGAAGGTGACACAATGTGAGTAAAAACAGAAAGAGATCTTGGTGTGTTTGAGTAGGTGGTGGTGGTTAAGAGTGGAGTCTGGATGAACTAGGCAAGCTTAGTTGGAGCAATGGTTTATGGGAAGAATAGTAGAGGATGGGCTGAAAAGTACTGGGACCAGAAGATGGTCCCACTAAGCTCTGTTCACTGAATGACGGAGTGACATGAGCTGTCTGAGGATGACTCTTTCTTGGCAGTATTATGCAAGATGGAAGCAAGAAGATTCCAGGAGTAAGGCAAGCTCAGTGGTAAGGCTGGCAAGTCGAACATGGAGGTAGGGCATTTCTAGAGGGAAAACGGATCTCTTCATCACTAGCAGAAGGGAGGAGTCACACCACCGAGTTATGAGAGAGCTAGGGGGATCCCAAGGAGGAGTTGAACTGGGAACAGTGGGGGTGGGAGAGGACAGAGAAGGAAATGTTTTAGAACATATTGTGGAGAGCTAAGGAAATGCGTTTCAAATTGGTAGTGGTCTATTATAACACAAACTTTAAACTTTTTAACTGGCTGACAAAATGATACCCATAGACTCTGACCTTTGTCCTTTGACCTTGGAAGAAATCACTGTAGTGTTTGAGCAAGGAGACCAGCACGGTGTTGTCATCGTACTTGATTAAGAAGTATGGTAGGGCCGTGACTCTTTCAGCTTGACACAGATCATCGTAGGCACGCTCGAGGGCCTGGATCTGGAAACAGCAGGGGTGAAGGCACTTTCTAGGAAATACAGCTCTGAGCTAAATACCAAAGCCATCAAAGGAACCACAAAGCCAGCTAGCTAGAAATAACTGAGTTCACCAAGTGCCCATTGATGTCACCTCTTAACCTTTCTATAACATTTTCCCTATGCTATGCCTTCACAGGGGCACAGAGGCGGCACTTCATGGATTGGAATAGTGGCTGCTTAAGCTGTCAACAGAGGTATACAGAGGTAACCAAGCATTCTTCTGTGACAACCCAGCATGGTCTAACCAGTAAGAAAGTTTGTCATTATCTTTTATCGTTTTGTTATGACACAATCCACATGCCCTACAATTTACCCATCTAGAGGGCAGAATCACTGTCTTGAAATTTTTCCTTTTTTATTTTATGTGTATGAGTGCTTTGCCTTTATGTGTGAATGTGTACCAGGTTCCTGCAGTGCCTGTGGAAGCCTGAAGATGGCATCAGATCCCCTTAATCTGGAGTTAGTGTGAGCCATCCTATGGCTGCTAGGAACGGAACCTGGTTCCTGACCACAAACAAGTGTTCTTAACCACTGAGCCATCCCTCCAGTCCAGAACCTATGACTGCTTGTTTGCTTTTCCCCTTTTGGTAGCATGTTACAAGGTTGGGCAATAGTTCCTGAGATGATCTGAAAACTTCCTTTTTCCTCCTTAAACATGAACATTCAATCTCCAACTAGAATATGTTGCCTCAAGTTAGGTTTCTTCTTAGGAAATTAGTTGCAGAAGACTACAACCATGCACTTGTTCTACAATTAGTTCCTAAATCTTTTTTTAAGTTTTATTTTTATTTTATGTATATGAGTACTTTTGTGCACGTGTGTCTATACACTCATGCACGTAGTGACTGGGAGGCCAGAGGAGGGTATCAGTCTTCCTGGAGATATAGTTTCTAGAGCTGCCACGTGGATGCTAGGATAGGAGCCTGGGTTATAACAGTAAACACTCTTAACTGCTGAGTCCCCCCACCCCTTAAATCTTTTCCAGCTTCAGAATTCTGCATCTTACTGACTGACATGCTTCTGGAATTCAGATTCAGATCATCTTGACCCTCAGCCAAGGTCTTAATAACCGTCAGAACTTTCCAATTAGGTCTGTGTTCTGCCAGTCTGATTATCTTAATTGTTCTTGGGATTAATCTCTAATGGCCTCCTAGAAGGAAAGGATTAGATCTGCATGTCTGTTCCAGAGAGGAGGTTCTGTCACTTGATCTGGGGTGGGGGTGGGGGCTTGTGCTTATTTCACAGGCTCTCCTGAAGAGTTATGGCTTTCTTTATGTATTTCCGAGACTGAAAATGAAAACTACTTTTGTAAATTCTGTCTTTCAAAATGTTCCTATGATTCTTCCCTGTGGGCTTAGCATTTCGTAAAATTCCATGGGCCGCCTGGAGGACGACTCCTCCTCTTCACACTGACCTCAGCACTTGGCACACACAGTTCCTGCACCATCTGGAGCGTTCCCCAGATGCCTTTTCTCCATCTAGAGATGAGCTGCTCAGCTTCCATGTGAGCCACACACCTGCTCTCACCGCTGAGCCCAACTTTACCTGCATTTGTTTTACTTGCTGATACCTGTTTTGGTGAAAGCCTTTGATCCAAGCCCACAGGCCCCTGAATTAGAGGGATGCTCTCAGGAAGACAGAGGGCAGGGCAGCAAAACCAATAGTAGAAGTGGTACTTCTTCAGGTCCTAAGGGAAACACAAATCAGAACAAAGTTGTATATAACACACATCTATTAATGTAATACATAAGCCCAGGGCAGTGGTGCATACTTGTAACTCCAACACCTGAGAGGCAAAGGTAGGAGTAGCAGAAGTTTAGGGATATCCTGAGCTACATTAGTAAGTTAGAGGCCAGCCTAGGTTACATGAGACCCAGCTTCAAAAGCCACCACAAGAAAAGCCGGGTGCATTAAAAGCTGATGCACACTAAGTACATGCCTGGATTGTCTCCATCAGAGATGGAGCGAACATAGAACTTCTGCCTGGACCCCCTCGTGACTCACAATATACTGATAGAGGCTTTCTCAGAAGCAGTTGAACAGTGGCCCCTGCATGCTTTAGGAAGAAACTACCCTAGGAGGTAGCCTCTCATCCCATTTTACAGATGGAAACATCTAGCAGACTTCCCATGGAGATCCCACTAAGAAGTACTGATGCATCTTTCAGTCCTGAGACAGCAATGCTTTTCTGATGTCCTCTGCACACTGGAGGGAATCCTTCTCCAAAGGCTTGGTATTTAAGGTGGTTCAGATTTTGCAGTTTTTTCAGATTTCAGACTATTTGCATTTGTACCCTGAAATACCCTGTGAATGGGATCTAAGCCTAAACAAGAAATTCATTTTTTTGTATTATATACCTCTTATTTCCAGGACCTGCATGAAATTTGATACAGTATTTTTAGTGCAGCAGCATTTTAAGTGTGGAATTTTCCACTATGTTACCATGTCAACATTCAAAGTCCTTATCTGGAAACATTTTGGCTTAAGATTAAGGATGTTTCCCTGTTTGATACTGCTTTCCAAAATGTCTTCTGGGTGGAGTGTAAGTCAGCAACTATTAAATACCTGTTGTATACAAGGCAAAACATGACACTCAGACAATACAATGACTAAGTCTCAGTCATCAGCTGCTGACCTTCCGTACAGAACAAGGATAGAAAGTCTGTGACTGACAGCCTTAGTTAAAGGAGGTTCCAAATACTGAGGTATAATGACATCATGCTAGGAACAGTTGGCCACTCCCACATCCTGGGGAAAGAGTTTCTGAGCTGTTCTCAACTCATCTCTCACTCAGTCCCAGGGCTCTGGGCCTCAAATTCCTGTGCCACTGGGGCCTGACTCTCTCACGGGGTAAGACCCTGGGGCTCTGTGGTCCTGGACAGCCTCTTCTCTCATTTGTGATGCAGTGTGGTGCTCTGATGCAGTTCTTCGGCTTAGAAATCACTTCTCATGAGTCTTGCTAAGAATGGGAACTGCAGAGTCATCACATGACTTAGATTTTGTTTGTTTTCAATTTTGCATACATATGAATATATACATGTATGTATGTTCTCCTGTCTGTGAGTACATGTGGGTGTACAAGGGTGTATGTACACATGTATATGCGCACATGTGGAGGCTTGAGGTTGCCATCAAGTGTCTTTCTTTTTCCACCTTACATGCCAAAGCAGGGTCTCTCACTGAGCTCAAAGCTAGCTAGGACACCTGACTAGCTAGCTTCTTGGGCCTCCAAGCCCTTGAATTAAAAGTGGCTGCCATGCCCACTCGGCTTTTATGTGGCTCTGAGGCGCTGAACTCAGGTCCTCATGCTTGCATTGTGATGCTTTAGTTACAAGCCATTTCCCCAAGACCCGAGAGACCTCTTGTATCAAAACATAATTAGAGAAAATTTACCACGTTTACATATACAATTTTGTGGGGTTTGTTTTTGTTTGACACCATTGAGCCACCAATAATTCTTGAACATTTTTATTATTCAAAGAAGAAACCCTGTCGCTATGAGCAGAACAGACCTACTCCCCACTTTCCCTGACCTTTGAACAAACCAAGTCATTCTCTGTGGATGTCTGCTCCTGAGTTTTCACAGAAATGGAATCACTCAATGACTTTTAAAATATAAATGCATATGTAACACAGTTCCAGATGAGAGCCTAATAATTACAGTCTCCACATTGTCACTAATTGATGAACTTAAAAAAAAAAAAAGAAAAGAAACCCTTTTCACAATGGCAAAACAAACTGTCAAACTGAAATTAATGAAGGGCCTGGCCGTCTGAGGCCTGAGAACTGCAGACAGGAAACGGAAGGCCTGGGAGCCCGCTATCTCTCCCCCTGTGCCTAGATGATTTGTCATAGCTGATCTTCAGCAAAAGGTTAAACAATTCACAAAGTCAGACCACGTGCCTGCAATAGTTTATCAGGCCATCTCCAGAAGCCAAAGCTTTCTTAGAGTTGTGCCCCTCCCCCCATACAAAGGATCACGGACAAATTAAACATAAAGCCCTTTGTGTCTGAAGAGTTTAAAGGACCTTTTTATTTTTATTTTGTTTTTTTAAAGTCTGGCTAAGAATATTTTGCCAAAAGGGACAATAAGGCAGATTGCCACTGACTCTAGGAAACTGCTTAAAAGTTTAATAAAGCTGGGTGGTGGTAGCACACATCTGTAATCCCTCCCAGTAGTGGGGAGGCAGAGACAGGTGGATCTCTGTGAGTTCCAGGCCAGCCTGGTCTATACAGCAAGTTCCAGGACAGGCTCCAAAGCTACAGAGAAACCCTGTCTGTTTTTGTTGTTGTTGTTTTGTTTTACGAGACAGGATTTCTCTGTATTGTTTTGGAGGCTGTCGGACCAGCCCGGCCTTGAACTCACAGAGATCCGCCTGCCTCTGCTTCCCAAGTGCTGGGATTAAAGGCGTGTGCCACCACCACCCGGCAAGAAACCCTGTCTTAAAAAAACAAAAAAACAAAACAACAACAAAAAACCCCAAAACAAAACAAACAACAAAAAACAAAAAACAACAAAAATAAACTGCTAATGTTATTTTCTCATTAAGCCGAAACTGTTAGTGAGATCGTTGGTATAAAAAATGGATTAAGTTTAATTAACAAGAATTCTTAGTACAAAAAGGTACTCATGATCAAGTAACAAACTTTGAAACCTTTAGCACTAATTAAATCCATCCTACCAAGGAATTCATAAGTAGATAAATGATTGATACCATTTACCAAGCTGCACCTGGTAACGTGACCGAGCCCCAGGGTATCCTCTCTCCCACCATAATTTACTGGGAAATGTGCCCCTCATAGGTAATGACCCTTGGGCTGTCTGAGGAAGGTACCCTGCTAGCCTCTTCTGTGCCTGGCAAGGAATAACACAGAGGGCAGTTGGAGAAGCAAGACTCAGTAAAAAATAACTAAATTGGTACCTTTCTCCCAACATGTACATTTAAATTTATATGAAAACATTTTCTTAATATATCCAACTTTACTAAGTAAATAAGTATATCAAATGTGTGGAAGTAGATTGATGTCCAGAATTGATGAGGTTGTGTCAGAGCAACACATGTAAACACACAGGGGCCTTAATATGCCTAGAGGCACATTCGCAGCCAGAGAGGACAAATATCAGTATGATTGGCCACTGTGGGTCATGGAAGTGCTGTTCATACTAGAGGACAGGAATCTAACCCTGAAAGTCAGGTGGAGTCTATGGAACATCCACTTGACAACACAACAGCATTTTGCAGACATCTGCATATGCAGATGCATTCCTCTGCTGTGGGGTTGTGGTAAACATACAGGGAAAGCAGGCTCTTAACTAGTACACAGGCTGCCCTCAACATCTATATAAGTAAGTCTTGTATATAGAAAGGTTTTCTTTTTCTCTTGATAAACAATTGTATGTGTGTTGAGCCAGGTGGCATGACTGCCTCCATACAGAAGCCCCTTTCCTGTATGCTATGGCTGCTACTGAGACTTTGGATCTGAAGGGTCTTCAGAAGCAAGCAAAAGTTTGGTCCTCAGGCTGTAGTGCTAAGAGCCAGTCAGGCTTTTAGGTGGTGGGGGGTGAGGCTTGGGGCATGGAGATTAATAGGTTGCAATTAACGCATTGAGGGCATTCCTTTAAAGGGGACACTGGGCGCCCAGCCCTTTCCTGGTTCTCTCTTTGCTTCCCAGGCACCATGAGGTATTCTCTGCGACCACAGGACCAAACACAGTGAAGGCAAGAGACCACAGAACAACACCTCTGAAAACTTATAATTTAATTATCTCAAGAATTTTGTCCTCCCGACAGCAAGTGGAGTGACATGATGGCTTCTGAAGGAATGCTGGGTGCTTATTTGTTGTTTTCCATTCGTTTGTTTTGAGACATACTGTTGCTATGTGGCTGGCCTGGAACTTGTGAGTATCCCTGTCTCCACCTCATGAGTGCTGGGGTCACAGGTGTGTGTCACCACACCGTATCCTGTGCTGGATGACAGAGTGGGGTCGCTGTTTGAGAAATTGGGCAATGGCTGTAGGGTGATCAAGGGAACAGGTCAGCCCTGCACTGCTCAGGTGCTGGGGCAATCTCCACTACCCAGCAAGCTTCCCGCTAATGGCCTTAGCGCACACTCCCAGGGAAGAGTTCTTAGAGACAAGAACGGAGTCCTTGTTGGTACACTGGGCTGAGTCAGGGTTGTGTAGTCTCCACCCATTTACTTACTGCGAAGGTCAAGAGCAGAAACTTGTTGAGGAGCATGGGGTTTTCGAGAGCAGAGCCTGACTTTATGGCTTCCCAGATCTGCCAGAAGAACGCAAGGCGTTAGATTGGGCTGCTGGTTTCTCTGTGCTCTCAGACGCTGAAGTGGCTCATTACCTCTCTTTGCCTGCTCCACACTGCCTCTCCAGCAGCTTTGCTCCCTCATTATCAGCTGGTGAGAGTACCTGGCATCTTCCCTCGGGGGCACTCAGCACAAAGGAGGCAAGTAGATACTCACACCTTTGAGATGCCCATCAGCAGGGAGTCACTATGGTCTGCTGTGTGCCTGGCATGTCATGATAGCAGAAATACAAAGTGCATGCTCAGCTCCATGCAGGACTTCTGTCATCAAAGCAGGACATCTGAATTGTCAACAAGTGGGAGTTGGGGGGAAGGGAGGCTCTAAAATGAGGAGTGATTTGAACTAACTACACAGTGTGGCTTTCCTTTATTTTTTCTTTGGCTTTTTTTTGGGGGGGGGCAATATTTTCCTGGCTTATCTGGAATTCTCTAAATAGAATAGGCTGGTTTCAAACTCAATATATCCCCTGCATATGCCTCCTGAGTGCTGGGATTAAAGGCATGCACCACCACACCCATTCCCACAGTGAGGCTCTCTCAAAGCTCTATTTGGAGCACTGAGAGATGAGAAAAGGAGCATGGCCTCCATGTCTGAACACCGGGCTAGTGTTGTGTGTCTGTGGACAAAAGCCAGGTTGTCACCAGCTGGTCATGAGATGCTCATTGCTCAGTTGCTATTCTATGTTGCTGCAAAAGACACAGCAAATGCTGTGACGGTGGACACAAGGACAACAATGATGGGGAAGAAACATCAGAGGTCTCAGGGGCTCACAAGTCACCTGGCACTGACTAGAGTTTGCCCTGGCAATACTGGAGACCTGTAAGTGCCATTGTGGCTCAGGACAGCCAAGCCTCCTGAGGGACAAAGCACAGGGCCCCAGGTGCATTTGGTCACAGCAACACAATTCTCAGAGGCCACATTGCTCCAAATGTCCCCTGTACTCCAACATCATGAGCCCCACCTCCAGCCTCACCTCCGAGCCTGGTTGTCTCCTCCTGACCTTATGCTGCACAGGAAAGAGTTGACCATCTTCCCTCTGGGAAAAAACACCCCTCAAACTCACCAGCACCCGCACCTCTACGCATCTTTTATAGACTATTTCTGTGACAGACCCGTGTGCCTGAGTAGACACAGTACACTTGCCTGGATCCCAGGAAATACAAAGGAGCCATTGAGGCTGTGTAGCTAACCTCGTTTGCTGACTGTTCCAGAAGGAGCTTCTTGTCTGCGGTCTTAAAAGCCTCGAGTGTGTTGGTGTTGTGCAGGGTCCCCACAGCAGGGCAGCAGCGGGCAGGTGTGGGGGCACTCCTAGACACGAGACAAACAGTTACCCAGCATGGCTAGGACCCTGAGCAAAGCAGGAGGTGACAAGAAACCCTGACACCACTGACTGGGGGGAGAGACCAATGTTTCACTGGTTCTTGCTCAAACAGGAGAAAGCAGGTGCTGTCTGGGGATCATCTGTACCCTGGCCCTCAGCTGTCAGCCTCCTATTCTTCCCCAAGAATGTGCATCTTTATTTTTTCCCACAAAGTGAGGGGGAACTGGCTGAAGCAGGGGCTGCCAGGGGCCCAAGTTCTAACTAGCAGCTTTTCCCCCTTTTAAACCTTAGGAAACTGCCTAGAGCGGTGGTTAGTTCATGTCAACTTGAAACAAGCGAGTCATCCCGAAAAAAGGAACCTCGTTTGAAGATTTGCCTCCATCAGATTGGCCTGCAGTCTATGTGGCATTTTTTTTTTTTTTTTTTTTTTTTTTTTGCTGATTGATGTGGAAGGGCCTCCACCAGGATAGTGCCACACTGGGGAAGGTGGTCCAGGAATCCAGACTGGGCAAGCAATGAAGAGAAAGACAGTAAGCAGCATTCCTCCACGGCCTCTGCTTCTTTCTGCTCCTGCCTCTAGGTTTCTGCCTTGCCTTCCCTGCATAATGGACTACAACTGTAAGTTGAAATAAACCCATTCTTCCCCACCTTGCCTTTGACCAGCCTGTTTATCACAGTAATAGAAAGCAAACTTGAACACCTGGGCTCACAAATCACAGAATGTACAACTCCCACTAGTGGACTCAGGGTACCCCCCACATACCCAGTGCTGGCTCCAGCCCACATACCCCAGACCGCAGCTCCCATGTTCCTGGCTAAAGTCTAGTATCTCAGCACATTTTCAAGAATGGCCACGCATACCCTGGAAGACAGACAACTTCCCTGCTTGTCCCATCAACTGGCCCATAACACACAGCTCTGCACACAGCTGCTATGTCATCTGTGTCATGGATAAAATGCAGGATGGCCAAACTACTGTCAATCTAGGGTACCAGCCACAGGGTTCACACCCACTACACCAAAGCCCCCACCCCAAGGAACTGGAGAGATGAAAGGGGAAGCAATGGACTGATTTTTAAACACAGGCTTGGAAAAAGACACAGCTGCTGTCTGAAGTGAACACCCTGAATTTTATATAGTACTGACATTAAAAAAAAAAAACCTTGGTGCCGGAGAGATGGCTCAATGGTTAAGAACACTAGCTGCTCCTGCAGAGGATCCAGATTCAGTTCCAGCACCCACATGATGGCTCACAACTATCTGTAACTCCAGTTGGGATCCATGCCCTCTTCTGATCTCCATGGGTGCCAAGCATGCACATGGTACACATACATACATACATACATACATACATTTATTCATTTAGGCAAAACATTCACCCACATAAAATAAATAATCAAATCTAAACATTTAAAAAGTAATATTTCTGCCACTAATGGCTTAATGTTATTGTCACGTGGGGCTTACATAGAGAGAAGGTTCTATCATTCATCACCCTGAGGATAGTACATGTGTCAGAGACACGGTATCTTTCGATACCTTTCCTTGTGTGGTGCACAACGGGGCCAGAGGGGGCCTGATGGAAAGAGATGCCAGCCTAGTACAGGTGAGGAAGGATACAAGTAACAATGACTCTACTAAATGCCACCAGTAAGCCTTAAATGTCAAGCCCTGGTGGGTGTGGGGGAGATCTTCCAGTGACCATGAGTCACTGCCCCACAGTGTCTGTCACCACATTCCTCCACTAAAAGAACATTCCTCATGTAGGCAAGGTGAAGGCATGGAGAGAGAAATCATAACGGGCAAATTTGGGCCTGGAGAGGAGAGGGAGGCAGAGCCTCTGCTCAGCAGGCCTCCCTCGTCAGACAGCTCTACGGAATCAATGTTGAGGCAGAGGGAAGGAGGCTGGGGCCAAGTACAGTGTAAAAAGGGACTCCATCCAACATGTCCCAATACCCCAGGTGTGTGCATACTATCACAGAGCCCTGCTGTGCCGACCAGAGGCTACTTCCAAGAACACAGACACTGCTGGGATGGCTCCCGATAATACCAGACAGACAAGCTACTGACCACATCCACATCTGACTAGGCTCCCACCAGGAATTACTAGGATTTAATTTGGATGAGTTATTAGTAGGTAGTTATGATGCAGAAAGAGAGCTGTGAAGGAAGGGGTTGGAGATGACTCAGCAGTTAAGAGCACTGGCTGCTCTTACAGAGGACCTAGTTTTGAGTCCCAGCATCCATACAGCAGCTCACAAGCAACTGTCGCTCCAGTTCCAGGGTATCTGATGCTTTCTTCTGGCCTCCTTGGGCACTGCATACATGTACATACACATAAGCAGACAAACACACATACACAATTTTTTTTAAGAAGGCTCTGAAGAGAAAAGAAATGCCCGCAGGTATTTCATAAAGATATAAATACTAGCATTTGTCTGCATTTATGTTACCCTTCTAAAATATGCAATTTTATGGGGATAAAGGAATAAAGTAGATTAATATTTTGAGAGGTTTAATAAAAACAGAGGGGGCTCATTTTTTTCCTCTAATAAACAAATGTAGCAGACAGTCTCAATAGGAGGCTTTGTCTCCATACCCCGCCTGGGAGCTTCCTTAGCTGCTCAAGGGAACACTCACTCCTTGCCCAAAGGAAGCAGGGTCCTTTGGAGTCTGTGAAAACCAATACTCACATGTCAAAAGCACTGAACTCCAACGTCAAGCGTGTGGGTAGACCAGCAGAGTCACCTGTGTGAAATATTGTCATGTCTCAGTGACAAACCAGAATGATGGTACCCATGTGAAAAAAGCTATGGCTAGTCATGTCCTTTTTTTTGAAAATTGAGCCCAAGGTGCCCTATCCATGACATGCTGATAACACGTGCACAGATGGCAGGGGATCTTGAGAGAGACTGACAGGGAGGGACTTGTAACTAATGTAAAAAGTATGCCCTGAGACACCCCCCGCACCCAGGAAGCTAGCTGAGCAGTGTTTGCCCTAACAACTTGAGCTTCACCACTCCTCTTTTTTCCCCAGAAGTACAAGAAATTTTTAAAATTGACTTGGGGTAAGTTTCAAGAAAGATACAAGAAGCTAAAAAACGGTGGATATACAAAATAAGCATACCCCTTGTCTGGCATTCATGAAGCTCTGGGCTCCGTCCCCAGCACTCCAAAAGTGACAGTAATAAGTGCCTAATAAGGGGTGCTGTATCCACAGAGGACCGACAAGAACACAGGGATCAGGAGTAAGGCAAGTGGAGACCGCCTACCATTGTAGTAGTAGCCCTTGATGTCCTTGGGAGTCTCGTCCAGGCGGTACTCGTTCAACTTCTTCTGGGTCAGTTCGTGCCAGAAGCCAACATCCAGGGCACTATTAAAGGGAGCAAACTGCAGTTTGGACAGTCCAGGGTCCCCCATGGCCACTGTTCTTACTGGTCTATGAAAACAAGAAACAAGATAGAGCTGAAGTCAAACCAACATTGGGGCTGGGAAAATGGCTCAGTGGCTAAGAGCACAGAACCCACATGGTGCCTTACATCTTCCTGTAGCTCCAGGACCAGGAGATCCAATGCTCTTGTCTCCTTTGGCTTCTGTATGAATGCAGTGCACATAAACTCACCAATGCTCACACACATACACATAAATATAAACATAATCCATAAATCAATCTTTTCTAACAGCTAGCCAAAGGCATTTTCAGTGTACAGACTCCCTTAAGACAACACTTAGTGTTCAATCACAGACCTCTGGAGCCATTCCAACTCCTGACAACAGAGCTCTGTACCTTTAATTTTTACTTATTATAATCATCATCATTATTGATTTTTTAGACAGAGTTTCTCTGTGTAGCCCTGGTTCTCTCAGAACTCGCTCTGTAGACCAGGCTGGCCTTGAACTCACAGAGATCTGCCTGCCTCTGCCTCCAGAGTGCTGGGATTAAAGGCGTGTGCCACCATGCCCATATCTGCACCCTTTAAAGAGCAGTTCCCTGACCTTTTCCCAGGTACCCAGTACAGACCATACTGTCTTTGTGAGACTAACACCACAGATCCCTTAGAAAAGAGGACTCACGTGACTTAAACTTGAGTGACCAGTTTACTTTACTTAAGACACAACTTTGAAAACATCCTGAAGAATTTGTCAAGTTCGGTTTCCTTATAGGAGTAATCTGTACACACAACCTTTCTGGCATTAACTTCCTGAGTCTTGTGTTAGCAGTGAGCATGCACCTCGGATCCCTCCCACTTGAGGCAAGCACTGGGGACCTGGACAGCAAACACCCTCCCCCGCCGCTCTACCCTTGACTTCCTTTCTCATCAGAATCAGCTGGGGACTGACTCATTGGAGACTGCCACAATCTATAAATCCAAAATCAAAAGTCCCCTAAGTCAGAATGTGCCTATCTGAACCAGGTGTCATCCCAACCCTTGAAAGACGGAGGCAGGAGGATCAAGAGTGGGAGATCATCTTTGGCTACCTAGTGAATTCAAGGCCATCTGGACTACATAAGACCCTGTTAAAAGGAAGGAAGGGGAGGGGGAAAACCAAAAGAGAAGAAAGGCAAGAAGGGAGGGACAGAGGAGGAGGAGGAGGGCCATCTAGAAGGTCAAGTTGGAATTCTGTTTGTCTGAGATCAATGCTGAGCATTCCAGCTGAGGTAGGTAAAGTCCACTTCCCATAAGCCTTAATTCCTTTAAAATTTCATGTTACATCTCTTTTGTTCCCTCCCCATAGGGTCCGTGCTGGGGTAGGGATTGCTGCATCTCTTAAGCACAAAGAAATTTTGCATTCTGCATCAAATAATGTGCTTTGATGTTTTTATTTCCCCACTCAAGTCGCCAAGTGAGTGTGGCTCTGCAAGCAGGCTTGCATATGCACCAGGACTGTGAAGCACCCATGTGCATACCTGTGGACTATGTATGTGCACTGGGCCTGTGAACCACTCATGCAGACTATGCATGTGCCCCACATCTATGAACCATCCATGCGTACCATACACGTGCACCTCACTTTCAGGTGTTCACATGTGGATGAACATAGCATGGCAGGAAAGCAGTGTGGAGTCAGCCTCAGCACTGCAGGCTTGGGAACTTTCCAGTGGCCTGTGTGTGCAGTTTCCAGTTACCAACACACGTTTAAAATCCTCATGCTGTCTGTGCCAAAGAAAAATGAAAATCAACTTAGCAACAATCTTGTTTGCCAAAGAGCTGTTTCTGCCCATGCCTGGTTGTGTGTCTATTTAAAGATTTATGGGTTCAGGGTCACCTACCTTCACTTACTGGATGTTTGGTCACCCACATAGGCTGACTTAGCTGATGTGGGTTTGGATCATTTGGGCTGACTTGTTATCTCCTGCTTACTCTCCATACTGTCACTATTTTGGGGGATCTTAGCTCTACAGGCAGGCATTCATACTGTTTTTTACACCTCAGAGCTGACTACTCCACTTTTAGACAGACTCTGCATTTTCTAGAAATAGAAAGAAATGCTATGCATTTCTAGAAATTAATTTTAATTTCTAGAATAGGATCTACTCTATTCTACAAGCTAGAAAATTAATTTTATGACGAGAGCTAAATCTGAAATGTTTTATTTAAAATTTATTAATTAACTATCTTTTAAAGGTTGACTTTTTTTCTTTTTGAGAGCATTCCATCATGTATCCTTGGCTGGCCTAGAACTCACTATGTAGACCAGGATGACTTCAAAGTCTCAGAGATCTACCTGTCTCTTCCTCCCAAGTGCTAGGATTTACGGTTTAAGGCTTGTGCCACCACATCCGTTTTACATGAATATTTAAATAAGGAAATCTTCCCCATGTAAATGTCTGTAATCCCAGCGCTGGGGATGCTGATGTGGGAGCACTGGCGTTTAGATGTGAGCCTGAGTTACACAGGGAGCTCCAGGATGCTGGAGAAGCCACTGAGGCCCCGCCCCTTTTGGAGAAGCTACTGGTGACTGGTGGCTGCTGAAAGGGGGTCACTCTCTTTCAGGGATGTGGCACTAGTAGGTAGCTTATGCCTCAGTGGGTGGCCACACCCCCATGTGCACATGTGCAGCACTGATTGGAATCAGGTAGCTACTACTTATGAGAAATGAAAGGAGGACATGAAGCTAGGAGGGGGATGATGGGGGCTTTAGGGAAGTGGTGGACAGATAGGATCAATTTAGGCATTGTATAAATGTATGGAACTTCCAAAATTAAAATAAAATATTTAGAAAAGAAAAAATGAAATGCTTCTGACTCAGGCTTAATCATTAGTGTTTAAACTAGGTCACAATGAGTGTTAAAGGGTATTACCTTAATGACCAAACAAAATATACATCTTCCTGCTTTATAAATAGCATAAGAATACAGTCACAGGTGCTTAACCATACATTTCAACAACTTGCTTTTTGTTAGTATTTACAATTTTCTTCAGTAACAGCAAACTGAGCTCCTCATTTCCTATAATGTGATTTATTTAACTGTGTTCCAAATCTGGATTAAGAATTAAACTGAACTCAGTACTAATTTTTTAAATTTTTATATAAAATTTAGAAAATTTCTATAAGACAGGCTTTATAAATTTTTTAATCAGGAGAATTTAAATATAAATAGCTATTTAAATATAAATAGCTAACACAATAATTTCAGCTTACCAGGATTGTAGATACTATCTACTTTAAAGCCTTTATAAGTCCCTTTAATATACTACCTAATATTCCTAAGCTTTTACTGCTTACACTGTACAGTTGAGAACATTTTACACAACTGGGACACACAGGTGAAATGGTCCATACTGATTATCAGGGTGACTGCATACTCAGACTGAGCCAAACACCTTTTCTTCCTTAAGTTGCTCTTGTCGGGTATTTTGTTACAGTGACGAGGAAGGACTATTACAGAATGTTAATCCCCCAAGTGGGTCTTTGCAGTGTTAAGCCTGATTGTGTGGTGCCTTTGGAACTGGGGTGAGTAATAAATGTGGAAGGGCTTGGAACTTTGCCCTGAAAAAGCCCAAGACTTCTGTAAGCAGAGCTTAGTGGGCATTTTGGTGGGAGTTTGGAAGACCAGAATGCCAAGAGATACATGCACAATGGAGGCCAAGATTGTGAGTTTTCAACAAGTGAAAGAGCTCTAACTAGGAATTGTGCACTCTGGCAAAAATCTGGCTTCATTCTGCTCATGTCCTGAGAACTTAAGTGAAGCTGGACTCAAAAGCAATGGACCAATGACGTGATAGCGCTCAGGTCATGGTATGATCACCACTCACTGCTCTTATCCAGATCTTCAGTGGTCAGAGGAGAAAAGTGTTTTTTAATGTACTATGTGGTAGAGAAAGGAGTAGAGAGGTTAAATTTGCCCACCAAGAGGGTACAGAGAATCAACTGTAACCACTAAAGGTATTAGCACCGTTATAGAGACACCCTGTGTTCTGTACCAAGACAACAGAAAAGAAGACCCAAGGACACATACTCCTGAGGACTCCAACCTGTGAAAACAAGAACTCACTTGACAGGAGAAGGAGTTCCCCACTCTCAGCAGCGCCCTGGGCTGTTGCAACTGTGGCCATGGTGACCAGTCTACATCTTAAACTCACTGATGAACTTGAAAGTTGGTTTTACCAACATGAAAGATGCAATGTTTAGGGGTTCACCGAGGCCAAGCAAGGTAAGACAGGGAAGGTGAGCCCTAATTTGCAATAGAGACACCAGGATTTTGGAGATGCCAGGACTGTGAGATGCTCATTGTGAGAAGGCATATGAGAGGATGAGAACCAAATCACAAAGTGCAGGGCTACCTAAGCCTTTTGGGACCCAGATGATTCCATCGTGAGCTCCAGACACCAAACATGGAGCTGCAGGAGTTGGTCTGCAATCCTGCTGGGCTTCAGTTTTGTTTTGGTGTGATCTATCCCTGTTTTATCTCCATTCCTCCCTTTTGGGATAGAGATGTTGACTTGGTGTCATTGGATATTAGGGATATGTAACTTTAAAAAAAACCAAAAACAGCCGGGCGTTGGTGGCGCACGCCTTTAATCCCAGCACTTGGGAGGCAGAGGCAGGCGGATCTCTGTGAGTTCGAGGCCAGCCTGGTCTACAAGAGCTAGTTCCAGAACAGCCTCCAAAGCCACAGAGAAACCCTGTCTCGAAAAACCAAAAAAAAAAAAAAAAAAAACAACCCAAAAACAAAACAGATCCTCACAGTTAAGAGGCTGCCTTGAGTCTCAGAAGAGATTTTAGACTTTGAACTTTTGAACAGTGTGAAGGGATGTTAAAGACTATGGGGACTTCTTAAGTTGGATGGAGTTTGCATTTTGCAGGATGATGACCATGTATCTACGAGAACAGGTAGAAAGCTATAGCTAAAAGTGATATGTTTGCGTCTCAGGCTGACAAGAGGTGGACGTGTTAGTGGTGGTTAACACAGACTGTCAACAGGATCATGAATCA